TTTTTCAAAGTAACGTTTATGTTACTTTGTTTATGTGCTATTTTATTACGCCATACGCTTTGACAAATGAACTGACCAAGCTGAATGTCTGATTTCTATCATGTCTTCACAATCCATCTCTACTTATTACCTTCTGTAACTAAATAATACTTTAAACAGGAAATATGTTAATTTTAAATCCATTATTAAATCAAATAGTTATCTATTGCTTACATATTGCATGGCATTTTCATACAAATTTCAAAGTTTGAAATGGGTTAGATTATTCTTTCTTTACAGCTGATCATCCCATCACCAAACTTTTTTTGTAAACTGCCACACAAAAGTCCATGTAAAAGAAGCATTTTTCTTAAAGAGATTAAAATAAAATGAAAAGAAAAAACAATGGCTCCGACCCAGACCCAAAACATTGTTTCAGTTTACCCTACTGTTTGATATTCAAAATGTTTTGTTCGTCTTCAACAAAGACCAAAAGATTGCAATGTGAACAGCCACGCCACCGTATTTCAAAGATTTTAGGAAACTTGTAACATGAATACATCTCTGTATTAATTCTTCATGCAACGTATGAATATTAGCCTTGTTCATAAGTTCGACATGTGAGCTTCAGCTGCTACAAAAGTAAAAATGATTTTGACTCAAATAGAGGAGTAACGACCCAATTAGAACATCGGTTAATCTGACGCTGCTCTATTAAGATGCTTTCTCGCCTCAGGATGCTATTTACTTGAAAGACAGATTCATAAATGTAGAATATCACTTGGTGTGAATAGTTTGGTTTATCAATTCTCACACAGTTGGTGGATTCTTTCATATGAGATACATATCAGATGATTGAAGACATAAGAAAAGAGACACCATGGAAAAGTGATAAGGTTCAGTACAACACAGTCAGTTTCATACCAGTATACAAAGCTTTTTTAAATAACACACCTGTGTTAAAGAAGTGACAGTAGGTTCTAACATTCAGAAGGGTGACTTTTTTTTGTAGAGTCTAAAAAAGCTGATTATAGGCTGGATGTTCCTTATTATTTATAGGTTGACAACTTTAGCTGAAAGTTTGATTCAAAGTTTTTCAAGCTAGAAGCAAACTTGTTCTTCCTCCTCTTCCTTAACCTGCTGGCTGGCCTCTTCTTTTGTCATTTTAATTTGACTTTACATTAGGTGTGTCGGAAAAAAATCGATTTGGCAATATATTGGGATTTTTGGCATCCTGATATAATACTGATCCTTTACCTTCTAATACCATTTTTTTTAAAGACATTTTTCCCTAAAACAATGGGGGGATGTGCATTACTTCCGCAACACCGCACCGGTCGACGGAGCCCTGGAACCCTTCTGTTGTGCATGTAGTAGAGGCAATTACAGTTGCAGAGGGGGACTGACTCAAACCCCAAACACCAAGATAACTGAATGATCAATATCTTCTAATGAATATGCTGCACTTGTCTTTTATCTCTACATTTAATTTAAACATTAGCTGGGTAGTATACTGAAATATGTCTTGATATATGGGGATATCGTATCGTGACCAAAGTATCGTGATGCGTACCGTATTGCAACACCCTTGCTAAGGGTTTTCTTTTCTTTTGAGTATTCAGTTTTTGTTTGCGTTTTTTGGAAGGAATTGAAGTCCTAAGGTTTTCCTTGGTGCCCCCCGGGGGCTGGCCCCCTTTTCCCTAGCTCCCTTCTAGAATCCTCTGTTCACACCTGCTCCCATTCAGCTCATTAGTCCTGTCTTTGTTCAGTCTCCCATATACACTCTCCCTGCGCAGTTCCTCAGTGCTTGTTCCTCATCTTTTCCTGGTCCCCCACGTAAGTTTTTCCCCATGAAGTTGTCTGGCTTTTGGTTCCATGTTTTTTGTACCTTGGTTTTTGGATTTCCTGCCTCAATTATTAAATTAAATCTTCAAGAACTCAACTCAGACTCCTCCCCTCTGCATTTGGGTCCTCAAAACCTCAACCAAACCCTGACAAAAATTAGGAAGGATTTTTATTTCTTCCTATAAACAGTCCAAGAAATCAATCCATTGGTAGTTTTTAGGTGTATAGTCTCCTATAGGAAGTCTTTCAACCAATACAAATATTCTTTGAATTAATATGAGTTTAGTTTTTTGTTACCATAAGTTACAGGTAGCTCAGATTGTTTAAACCTGCACGGGTTTGAACACACCAGACAAGTCGTCCTAAAGTCGTGGTCTGGACCTAATTAGGGCTCCAAACAAACCAGTTCTGCGGGAGTTTTCTATCTATAAAACAGAACTTTTCCTCTCCACTGTTGCTGCATGCTTGCTTGATATGAGGCATTGCTGCAAAGTCACCACCACTAAGCAAACTGCTGTCCGCTTTCACTGCTCATGCATGAAGAATGAATTCTGTTAGCCGATGGTTTGATTTAATCCGCTGATTTTTCCTTAGATGGAAAATGTTTTAACCAGTCCATCTGTTTGATTTCATTAAATGACTCAAGTTCTTTGAGATGACATGTGTTTTATGTTGGAGCTGTACAAATAAACTGATTTGATTTGGTTTAAATTCACTTATTCAATCACCTAGTAGGTGACTCAACTACCCATTGCATAATTTTTGATGAGTAGAAGCCCTCCTTTCTTTTAAACCACCATATTGTTCCCTTTCTGCAAAATCAGAGTATGATGATTCTTGCTTCTTAATAAGAGAGTCACAGTTTTATAAAGCTACTTGTTAACCAAGATGTTTTCTTAAAAGATTGAGGGGAGAGCTCCAAACCTAAATCATGTGGATTTCATTCAATAATCTGTTAGTTAAAGAATGACCAATCTTTAAAAATCCTCCAAAAATCATCAAGCCTATATAGATGATATAAACACTATATAACCCTAAAATACCAACTAGTATTTAGTGATAGTAGATCACTGATGACTGTTGAA